TATATATACTTCTCATCCAATCCCTATCAAATTCACTCTATCCAGGAGAGACAATTTTATCTGGATAGGGTTTTATTTGATTTTTTAACAATAACAAGCTGTAACGAAACAAGCAAAAATGAAAAAGCAGTAACAACTTTCTACTTCTTTTCTAAAAATAAAAACAATAGAAAGTACAGACAACTGTATGAAAATGTAATTAGAAGTAAAACGTCTGCTGGAAAAATTACTCAAGTAAAGTGGCAGCATGATGGTTCAGTGGTTAGCACTGACGCCTCACAGCAAGTGAGTCAGAAAGTCCTTGGTTCGATCCCCGGTTCCAACCTGGGGTCGTTCGTTCTGTGTGGAGTCTGCATGTTCTCCTCGTGCAGTCATGTTGTTTACACTCTAAAACCACAAAGAGGCTCTGGTTGAAATGTAGTCTATAGATCTGAAAATAAACATTTAACCGAAAATTTAATCAGTTTTCTGCAAAACATTTGGGCTACCAATCTGAACAATTCCTTACAGTACCTTTCTTTATTTAAGGGGTGACAGTGGCCCAGGAGGTAAGGAGTTTGTTCTAGTGGGTTGTTGGTTCAAACCTCCATACATCTCAGTCAAGTCCTTGGACAAGACACTTCACCCACTGGTGGCAGTCAGAGGGCCCAGTGGTGGTGATGCAGAGGTGGGGTTGTGCACTATAGACCCCTGTGATACGGCCCAAAGGGCTTTTTCACCCTTTACATTACTTTTACTTTTATACTTTATGTAGTTTTAAAACCAGCACTTCACACTTCTTTTCTAGAGTTGATACTTCAGCTTCTTCAGAAGTATTTTTAAACCCATGTCTATACTTCAACTTAAGTTATGAATGTGAAACTGTTTGACACCTATGCTCATTTAGCTGCCTCTGTGATGGTTGTTGACCCTTTTCTGCCTAAACTTGTGTGTCCCATTGAAGAGAAAAACAGATCAAGCATTTTTTTGTAATGAATAAAAACGATGCTGACGGTTCTACAGCAATACCAAGCACTTTTTAGCTAGTTTAAAACTTCAAGTCTGGTTTCTTTCTTTCACTGTTTGTGAAGTGGTTCCTAAAGTTGAGGTTGGTGCCCCATTGTGGAAACAAAAAGTGAAGAGTCTTCAGACAACCATCACAGCACAGTAGCTGTTTGATTTGTTTGTGCTGTCAACAAATCCTTGTTCTGTTAACTCATAATTAGCAATGTTTGAACACTTCCAGAAGCTGTAGATCCGTGGGTTTCTGCTGCTGTTTTGTTGGCGAGAAGCTGAAAAGTTTGGGAACCACACCAGTGTATATAACGGTGGAAACATTTGCTTAGACCTGGACTGCATAATCCTTCAATATTCATGTTCTTGCCTTGGACAGCCCAAACAACAGCTGCTTTCTACAGCTGTGAAAAAAATAAATTTTTTTCACCGTATAAGGCCATATTATCCACGATGAGGGCTAATATTTTAACATTGTGTAAGAAAATCTAAACATAAGAGGACAAGATAGTTAACATTCGATCATGCTTACCCTGAATAGTTTCACATGAGTTTGTTTAAACAGGGTAATAATTAACAAAAGCCACTTTAGTGAACTCGTCACATATGTGGATCCAATGGTGCAAACGATTGGTTTCTAACTCCTGTCAATGTTTGTATGTAATATTCTCAGTTAGGAAACACTCAGCACATACAGGTACTTCCATTTGCACTATTATTTAATTTGTACAGCTGGTATTTCTACACTGTCAGGTTTTCTCTTCTGTGCTTCTTTTCACTTACGTGTATAAACATGTTTATACAGCATATTTTTTATAGATCATTACTTAAGATTCACCCATCATAATTTTCTAGTCCAATTTTGATGTGCAATTTTTGTTATCATCTTATCTGCCAATTTTGATGTTTACCATTTCTAACTTCGCTTTAAGAGCTACAGATAACAAAATTCCACTTTTTTTTCTCTCATAATTTCCATTGGAATTGAACATTTGATTGTGTTAATAGTCATATGTTTTAACTAATTTGTATTTCGGTACTTCTTTGTGCTTCATCTGGCCTAATCTCTGAACATCAAACTAGCAGTACAAATAGCTAACATTAACATAATGAACAGAGAAAGATCATTGAGAATTATTTTTTTTTGCCAAACTAATAGGTTTCAGTTACTGACAACTCTGTCGATGACAAAAAGCTTCACTTTTAAAGGTAGAGGGAGCAGCAGTGTTTTAGGCAGAGTTTCTGTAGCCGGCCTTAAACCCCTCAGGATTTGCATGCTATGCCATGGTACCATGGGACTGCTACAAATTTGGCAAAGCTTCCTATTTCTTCTGTGTGTTTTATCCCCTGGAGATTCCTTGGCACTTCCCTTTTGTCTCTACCCACTGAGCCTATACAACAGTTTYGGAAACATTTCTTTTGCGGCAACTGGAAAGCTTTGTTTCCTTCCCAGGCACTGAAATAGCTGAAAGAGTTGTCGACAGCTCGCTGCATTGCCTCTGCCGGTGCAGTTTGTTGTGTATTTTGGGAAGAAACATTTMCGACGCCACGGCTGACTTCTTGCTTCTTTATTGTGCCGGTCTTTTCTAGATCATAGTTGAACAGTAAATGAAGCTGTGAAACTCAGGGAGACTTCAGGTACTTTAATCCTGTGGGCTGCTTTAACGTTTTATTGGTGGGCTGTGAACCTGAAGGATAATATGAGTTGTTTGATGGAATTTTGTTACTTCCTGTTTCTATTTGATATTTCATCTGCACCCCTTTAGCCTCACAAATGGACATTCTTAAGGAAAAAAAAAAGACACTATTCTGGCCTTTCTCAGCCTACTCTGCTCAAGTTTCTGGCTCCAGCCATGTTTTTCTGTCTCTGTGCAGCACCCAGGCAACAAAGAAGGCGTGTAGAACTTCTCAGACTGATGTCACGATGAGAAAGAGAATCAGAGGGTGAGTGGGAGAGGAGTGGACTTGCCATATTTAGTCCTGCATGTCTGCAAAGGCCTCACACTCAGCTTAGATGTGAACGCAAGCAGAGCGTGATTGTTCACAGTTCACCTGAACTACAGTAGACATTACCAAAGAATGTTGACACGCTTTGTCCAAAACCTCTCCTTTAAGTGGTGTACTTATATGGGAGGCACTGACTTCCTGTATTTTTTGAATAAACCTCCCCCACCCAAACCCCCCCCACCACCAAACAAACAAGCTTATATAAAATAAAACTACAGAATTAGCACTTTTTGAGAAAATACAGTGTGAAGAGTTAGTGCTGAAAAAAGGTTGCTGAAATTTGCCAAAGAATCTGAAAATGACTCGTTAAAACTAACGATATAAAACACACACACACACACACACACACACACACACACACACACACACACACACACACACACACACACACACACACACACACACACACACACACACACACACACACACACACACACACACAAAATAAATATAAATAAATAAATTAAAAAAAGACATTTTGAATCAGGTCAAGTTTTAACACTTATGCAACAAAAAGTCCAAAGAACACAGTAGAAGTGCTTTATTTTACAGCCTTTTGTTGCATTTTGTTAACAGTATTTTCTGTATGCTGATTGAAAGATTCAAAACGAACGTTTTGACCGAACTGGTGGTTGAATGACTAAGTGTTTTTCTGTTGACTTGAGCTTATCAGATCCTTACAGATGATGTCTGTGGCATTTACAGTGTGACTCTTACAACATCATGCAGCTATTTTGATGTGTAAATGTGTTATGATACAGCATGGACTCAAACTACAAACTACAGTATATACAATTGAAGAAATTTTGTAACTGATGAATTGAATATTAGATTCAGTTTTGTATTTTATACTTTCTGATCATTTCAGTCTGTAAGGTTGAAGCTGACAAAGAGTTGGTGTGTTATCATGTGTTCTTTCTCTTAGCCTAAACAAAACTGAGTGACGTTCTGACGTCTGACGTAAAAGGTAACAGCTCTGAGGTGTAACCAGGAAGAGATGAACATTATAAGCTCAATTCATTATTATAGTAGTGAGAAGTTGTCAGTGTTTTGCAGAGTGTCTGCTCAGAGCAGAGCTCCCGTGTTTGTTTTGGTTTGGCCCAAGGTTGTAGCTAAGGCCTGTGCTGCTGAGAGCTGAATGAAGCTGATTGGAGTCAGAGGACTGAAATAAAGTTTTTAACAAGAAATCCAGCTGAATCCTGTTTATTTGGACATACAATATTAAAACACGTATTTTCTTACACAATACTATAGAGTAAACACTGATGTTGTCACACTTCACTCAAATGACCCTATAGGACAGGGATAATAAACTCAATGTCACAGAGGGCCACATGAGTTATGGTACTTGTTATAAAAATTAATGTTTCGTGTTTAGCTTCAACTAAACATGAAACCTCATGTTCCTTGTCTCATTGCTATGGCTGAGCACCACTAACAAATAATAACTGAGCTCTACTTGGTATTTCCTGCATAAAACCAGAGTTTTAACACACCGTCTTATAAACACTGAAGTGTTCTAAATGTGAAATTAATAATACAGAAAGGCTATTAAAAGTAAGAAAGTTTTACTCACTGTTGAGTTGTGATAATTAGCCGGTGTCTTGAGTTTTGAACTCTCTGAAAGGGAATTCTCGTGTATTTTTGACGTGCAATATGGGAGATGTAGTTTATAGTCAATGCTGGAATTAAAGCAGCTTATTTTGAGACATTAATCAACACATTCTCACTCCCGAGTCGTCACATATTGACGTTTTTCAAAGG